GGTAGGGTATTTGCGAACAACCACAAGTGTATCACGTTATGTCAGTATCACAACGGAAAGTGTGTTCAAGGTCATTTACTAAAACAACAGGTACAATCATTTAATGATAAATATACAGACAGTTAACGATTAGCAAAATAAATACAAATAATAATGAAAACTATTTACAAAATAAGCTGGACTTTAGATGAGCTTTTTCTGTCATTTCGTATTATTGATCATGATTTCAGTTTCAGTTTCAATTTTGGAAGGACAGGAAGCTTGATGGCTGTGTTAATCCTGGCAATGGTGGTCCCTCCGTTGATTCAACTTTTTTTTTAAATAATCGACGGATGGAGTCTCAACCACGTGCTGAGTTAATGAATTCTACTCGTTGATGATTCGATGGGAAAGTCGATAGTCAGCTGACAAGTAATTTGTTCTGGGCTTGTGAACTTTTTTTGGAGTGTTCTCGTAAATTCTCTGTTTTACAAAACAAGAAAAATGAGGGTATATCAGGTGCAAATTCATTCATTCACGACAGGTAGCTGAGAGTTATTCATCTTGTATGTATCTGTACCTTGGTGACCGTTATGCATCACAACACACTTGAAAGTATTCATCGGTATCTGCCATGTTTGAGACCATTCAGTTAATTTCTTCAGGTCATTTTGAAGTTCTAAGCTATCACTCTTACATCCTATCGTTCTTCATATCTTGACATTGTCGGCATATAGCAAGACCGATGATGATAGAGACATGGAAGGTCATTTACATACAAGAGGAATAACACTGGCCCCAAAACTGTACTCTGAGGCACTCCACTAAGCACAGTTTCCCAGCTAGATAACTTTGAGTTCACCCTTACTCTTTGTTGACGCCCAACTATGAAGTCTTTTATCCACATGAATAGATTGCCTTCAATCCCGACATTTATTAACTTATATAACAGCCGGTTGTGCGGAACCTTGTCAACAGCTTTGCTGAAATCAATGAAGCTACGTCTACAGGTAACTTTTGGTCCTTAAGAGCGCACCAGCTTTCACGAGCCACTAATAAGCTAGTGAGACAAGAGTACATTATTCTGAAACCGTGAGGCTTCTCCGAAAGGGTCCGGTTTTTATGGAGATACTTAAACAGCTCCTTCCGAAAAATCTTTTCTATGAATTTAACAACCACACTAGTTAGGCTAACGAGGCGGTAATTCTCAGGTTTGTGTTTCGTACCTGTTTTGAAGACAGGACTTACTATGGCGTTTTTCCAGTCTTTGGGTAAACGACCCTGCGTTACGGATAAGTTAAAGCATATACTTAGAGGGTTCGCAACGAAGTTAGATAATTCATTCACCAGCCTAGGATGTAATTCATCGGGCCCCGTGGATTTACCTATGTCAAACTTATTTAGTAGACCAAAGACATCGAGTTCTTTAATGGTCACGCTATCCAGTGTATGTGTGGGGGGTCTGTACGCGCTGATGGGAAGGGTGCTTCTATGGTGTATGCATTGCTAAAGTAGTTTGAGAACACGTGAGCCTTACCAAAGTCGTCCTCCAATAGTGACTCTGCAGTACTGTCTCCCCATAGAGCAGGAATATTTCCTCTTCTCTTTGTCCTTTGGTTTATATAAGAATACAAGCGTTTAGGATATTCTATGGATTCCTTAACAATCTTTTCTTCGTACAATTTCCTAGACTTACGGAGGGTCGAGGCACAGATATTCCGGATTTTCCATACTGGGATTTAGTTTCATCAGTCCCCAATAACCTAAATCTATCTCACATTTTTCTTCTCTTACGGAGAAGGATGCGGACCTCCCTACTAAACCATGGTGGAGAGTTTCTCGGCCCTCTTGATATAGTCCAAGGGATGTGGGGTGTGGTAACTTTTAAGTATGAATTTCGAAATGCGTCCCAGGCCGTTTCAACTGAGGACCCTGGGTTTATTGTCCAATCTACTAACGATGCTAAGTGCATGATATCTGGTATATCCAGACGTTAGGTCTGGATTGGGCTGACCCGTGCTCGTGACTGACAGTTATATGGAAGTCGAAAATTAAAGCTGCTTGATCACTTTTACCTAGGGGTGGCATATAATGGAGGTTCGCAACGTCATCCACATAGTGAGTGAGTATCAGATCTAGTAATGATGGTTGAGTGTCCGGGTCGTACCTAGTCGCTTCTTTCACATGTTGCACTAGGACAAACATGATAACTTCATCAAATAGTCCCTACTCGAAGGAATTTTCTGACGACTTAGTTCGCATATTTTTTCAGTCTACCATAGGTGCATTAAAGTCCCCTAGGATTAGACATCGACCACTTTGGGACCAAGTATTGAGACTGCTTAACTGGATCTCATTTACCTCACAGCTTGGACTGCGATAGACCAAATCAATCAGCAGCTCTTGTCCCTTGCATTTCAAGCGGAGACTAACTAATTCACACGTCCCACTCTCATGGGATACACTGTCGATAATGGCAAATGGAATAGCATTCCTAATGAATAGAGCTACTCCCCATCCTTTACGCTTTTGTATTCTGTTGGCCCTTACTAACGTAAAACCCTCGAAATCAAGCTCCATACTATCTATAGCCTGTGTCAGCCAGGTTTCTGTTACTGCGATTTTATCTGGCTTTATAGAGTCAATCTGTACACCTAGTTCCGATCGCTTATTAAGCAAGCTCCGGGCATTAGTGTAGCAGACCCGAAGCCAATTTAAGTGGCTTCATGCTTCACCCAGAGTGGCTTCGGCACCATTCTCTACTGAAGCCTTACAACCCGAAAATTTACAATTTTTAGGTCCTTTTCGCCAGTGTCTAACCTAAATTGTTGTTCTTTTTTGGCTTCCCGTCTTTTTACACGGTCTGCCAACGGTAAGTCCTTTCGTATAAAGACTCCTAAACCCTTTCATTTGTGTCCATTTTGTAAAATTAGGTCACGTTCGTTCGAAGTGTTGAATACTACTTTAAGCAATCTGGAATGATTTGGTTTCAAGTCCTCTAGACTCTCAGTTTGTACTTCTTTAGCAAGGTGACCCTAGTGATATTTTGAGGCATGAGTTGATTAAGCAGCTGCTTAATCAGCACAATGTCATGCTCAAAACAAGCTTTAGGTCCAGAGCTCTCCCTCTCCTTGATTTTACGAGAAATAGCTGATCTGTCGCTATGATCAGCTTTCGATTTTACGACTACTTTCGCGGTGGTAGGATTAGCTTTTATATCGCCACTTCTTTTCTTCCTTACAACCTGTACCCACTCGTCAACGGTGCTGGGAGAAGCAACAACAGTTGCGTCACACCTAGTGTTGGATTCTGAAGGGTTGTCGACGACCTGAGAGGTCAGGTTATGTTTACCGCTTGAAACCGATCGAGCCTTGCTATTGCGGCTTTTAGGCGTTTCCTGTGGGATCCCATCTGGGAGACGGGAAACAGAAGAACCTATTTTCCTTGAGCTTTTGTTTAAGGCAGGCCCCTTTGGAGACTGCTTTTCCTTCTTTGACCGGCGTGAGTCATCTTTTGTCGAACTAACCTTAGTTTGCCTCATGTCGATTTTTGTGTCGACAGATCGAATGCTGTTTGACATGTTCCGACTACGCTTGCTAAAACACTTCTTCGCAGCATCAACCAGTGAGATGGCTTCGGTTAACAGGCTGTTTGCATCCGAACAGCACTGTTGACAAAGCCATACGCAACCTTTCTTACTGAACCGTTTGAAAGCCGCAGGCGTTAAGTTCGTGCAAACTTCATGGTACCAGCTTTTGCACTCGTCGCACAGCATGCCGCTTTCAACGGAATAACGACAACCCGGACGAAGGCAACTGCCTTTTTTACACTGTCCGGTCATTTAAAAAGGAGTCCTTTTCAAAAAGGGACGAGATGCAATGATACTCAAAAGCAAAAAATAATCAATGACCAAAAAGCGAAGAACTGTAGATTGTTAGGACCAAAAGTACTGACAGATACAATTGAAAATGAGGTACTCAAGAGTACCAACGACAAAACTAATTGAGAGAACGGTAAAAACGGTACTCTAGTCGAATACTTTAACTGAAATGAATTCAATTAAAGTGAAAACAGTAGTCTTGATATGTGATAAACTATCAAAACAATGAAATTTACTCAGCGAGGAAAAATACCACTGTCCTTTTTAAATAGCGCGCGTTCTTATTGGGTGTTTATATGTATTATATTTTCGCTCCCTCCAGCACTAATAATCTCCGAGGTCATAGCAAGAAGGTTCACAAACTGCGATCTAATAAACTTAAAGTTGGGTCCCGTTTTTCTCATCGAATAGTCAATGACTGTAACGCCCTATCCAAAGAAGTTCATTAGCCTCATCAGTGAATATTTTCAAAGAAACGCTGGACCTTCATTGTAAGGCAGTCTGTCAAGATTACCACAGGTTCACCAACCTACAATGCTTACCGTCGACGACTGTCACTTTAATCCTTCAAGGTCGCATAAACAAAAGTAGGGCAATTATGAAAGCGGGTTTACTTTAGATTTATAAGGTTTAGTGTTGGAGTGCAGTTCCAGTTAGGGCTTCAACCACAAATGGATATTAGTTGTGATACAACGACTTTCAACTTCATATCTTCAGTTTTAATCTCGGTGTAATAAATCATTCGTTTATCCTTGCTGCCTCCGGATTTGCTAAAGAAAACGAGTTAAAACCTCAAGCTCTTTCAGTGGTAGATTCCAGGTGTACGGCGAAAAGACAGCTTTATAGGATCTGTCCCGCATCTTTTAAGCTGTTCTCAGTTGTTCGCCTTAATTTTCTATTGATTAATTCAGTGGATTAAATATTTATCACGTCACCATTCAGTGTTTTCAATGTTTATTCAGTTTTATTTTATAACTAGAAGCTTAAGTTTAGTGATAGTGTAATTACTGTCTTATAATTTGTCAAGTAAATCTTTAGCATTACTACTAGGTGTGGATCACCAAAACTAGTTTTATGTCAATATCAATACTTCAGTTTTTACTGTCTTTATTTAGATTTTAGGCTGATTGACGTCCTCGAAATGCTAAATTTCATGCGTCCTTCTAGAGAATTGCTAAAATGTAAGTGCGCCTTCAGTGGAATTTTTACTGGATTCTAGGTATTAGTAAAGCTGTATTTACGTTTCCCGTCTGCCGTTACTCGTCATTCGTGAGTAGTACTAATGAACATGAAGTGAAACAACAAATTCCAGCTGATGAACAAGAGATTAAGAGACTATCAACATTCGGCGTTTACGTTGGTGAATGTTTACCTAAGTTTGTCCAAAAGGTGCAAATAGGTCATACCAAAGAACTTGAAATTTGTATTCATCCTGATGGAGTTATTCCAGTTCTTTCATTCCTGAAATGTCATCACAGTGCTCAATTCTTAAACCTTTCGGATATTACTGCTGTTGATATACCATCAAGAAAATATAGATTCCAGGTATTGTTTGCGTTTTTCTCGTTTGATCATTGTAGATTGTTTATAATCTTCTTTCTTTGAGGTATAACTCTCGAATTCGTGTCTTGACCTACACAGACGAACTTACACCGATCGACTCGTCTTGTTCCATCTTTCAAGCATCAAATTGGTATGAACGGGAGGTGTGGGACATGTACGGTGTGTTTTTCTATGATCATCCGGATCTTCGTCGGATCCTTACTGACTATGGTTTTATAGGGCATCCTCAACGGAGAGATTTTCCTCTAAGTGGATATACAGAGGTATGAAGATGAAATCTTTTAATTACTCTGTCTTCCACATTTATTGCTAGTCTTAATGCCACTAAATTATCGTCTCAACGTTTATTGTATGACTTATTGTATACATGTATACATACATGAAAGGAGCAAGACGCATAATTATGTGTTAGTCTGAGTTATTGTACTTCACATCATTATCATAGGAAAGGAAACTAAGAAGATCCGAATTAAGGTAGTAGATACATCAACATCAACTAAACATAAGAAATGCAGTTCAAAATAAATTGGTCAACTTAACGAATGAAAAGAGCATCAACTTCAGGTGAAAATTGCTTTTAAATAAAAAAACAAGAGATAGTATCACTCTCCACAGGTCGACATTTGAGTTCATTCATGTATGACCAGAGATGTATATTTTTCTTTATTGTGTTTGACTACATATGTGATATCCTGACACGTACAACTGACAGGTTTCATAATTAGACACTAGTTCTTTTGAAAGTTGGGTTTTATAACTCATCATCTCCACAAATAAGACTTCAAACAAGCAAACTCTATCTAGGCTTGAATAGTTCACATCGAGAGGAGCAAGTATCTCAGTTCTACTTATAGGGGGTTATGCGATGCACCATGTCATGTCGTCTTAGCTATCTCTCTCCGTAACTAACATTTATCCGACTAGAAATACCTGGTCGTTTGATCACTCTAAAAACAATAAAATTAGTTACGAGTTGACGACCAAAGCTTCTCTTAGTGGCTTTTCGTGAACAAGAATCTTTATTTTAGACCATTGTATGCAATTCGGAAACCGTTTGATAATCCAGAGTGCTTCATTTCTACATTCATAATCTTAAAATCCCTACAGGAAATCAGTTGCCCGAAATTTTCCCTATGTTCCTGCGTGAACTAGGTCACAAAGTTCTTTTCCCAGCCTCACCTAGCACAAAAGCTTACTGAGTGAGTGTACCTTACCCTGTAATCACATGAAATACCCATGGTCCATAGTACGCATAAACTTTGCTGGTCCAGTTAACTCGATCACATAAATGTATTTCCCCTTGACACTGCCATTAGTAACCTAGACCACTCAGTTACCATAGAAAGACTTATCAATACCATTTGCCGAATAGAATGGCATAGAAAACTATTTTACTTCATGTTACATCTTGGTTTAACCATGTATCAAGTACAGATTAATGTGCTGGCTTTTTAACCTCACTTTATTTATTTAATGACTAGCTATACTACCCAGTTGCCCAAACTGAAATATGTAAGGTGGCGTATGAACCTGAGGCCTACTGGTTAAAGCTCAGACGCATATGTGCTGATACGGCTAGTTTTTCATCATGTTTCGAAGGACACAATAAATTCATGTATTTTAACCATTCTTTTGGGTTTAATAAAATTCTTATCTAAGGTTGTAATCACGGTCTCTGGATTTTCCGAGGTCTGTGTAGATAGGTTAGTATATTTTTCACTCAGTGTCCATAACTGTCAGTATTTAAGGAAAATCCACGTTTGATTATCAGAACTTATGAATTTTTTAAAACAATTTACGTCGTTTATGACAAGACATTTTTGTAACAGCCCGTGTTAAAACCCTACAACTGTATCCACTTATCTCAACCTATTTTTGGATTTTTAAAAATTGTTTTAGCAGTACTGAATGTGTATTTTATTTTTACAAGCTCACATAACATTTATAAGTATCTGTAGAGTTGTGTATCAGTAATTCGATCACTCAACTTTTAACAATCTGGTCGCGAATCGAACATCTTGCTCCATCGTTATAGGTTTTCACAGCCAAGTAGTACTTCTAGCGTTCTCACTAAGACTAACTCGAAGCCTAATACACTGAATATTTCATCATTATAAGTTGTACAAATAAGTACCTCACACTATGCACATTCTCCTAATTAATAGTCGATGAATGTTTTAACTAGTTTATTCCATTTATGACATTGATCATCAACGACCTAGCAGTCCAGATGAATGCATCTGGCTTTTAACTTTTCAAAGGTGATAGCTTCGTTACATATTTAATAGTATGTTATTTTTAATCTTATTTATTGATAGTGCTGACAATGGTAACTTCATTTCTTATAAATAAGTTCGGTTAAACTAAGTAGATACTTGACTGTGTGGTATTAACTCTTGTTTTTCAGGTGAGATTTGACGACCAATACTATCGCGTGGTTATCGAACCCGTTGAATTGGCTCAGGAATTCAGGCGGTTCGAGTTCAACTCTCCTTGGGAAGCGTTCCCAGCATTTCGGGATTCCAGTTCACATGATGAGAATTTACTAAAATCTCCCGATTTCGAAGGCCACTCGGGAGACTCAAAACCAAAATTAAATTCTAAATAAGCTAGAACTTTTCACTGTTGTCTGTCAGTAATATGATTTGACAGATGAGTCATAATTAGACTTCTTTTGCCCTTAGTCTTTTTGTACATCCCAATGCCTTACGTTAAAAACTGTCTCATAGTACGGGATTTAATACTGATAAATCGAGTGTCTTGTGCTTGGATTATTAATGTGCTATTTTCGAACGGTAGTGATCACATATTCCTTTTGTTTAATAAGCAATAGAATTTCATGAATCCATTGCGTTTCCAATAGCTTCATAGGTAGAGGTTTTTACGAAAAGTTGACTGAGTAGTTTCTTTTGTGTCACGTTAAGGGTTGTAGTCGAAATGCTAAGTCGTTTTAAAAAAACTAGTGATAAGCATACATTTGGCTTACGAAAGCTCTAGCTGTCTTAACTAGTCTGTCAAATAAATACGCAAAACGAACTATTAAAGCTTTTGAAGAAAATCGGAAAGAATTGGGGTGAGCCACAAAACCCTTTTTTGTGGTATGACATTGCGGTAAACAGTTTTCAAATGATAGATATATTTAAGTAAGAGCCGTGTATACGGATGGGATAATGCAAGTCTAGAATAACCACTGACCTCATTCGTTGGTGAAATGTTTGTGGTGTCTAATACTTTATGATCGGCGATTCGTTCTCTAGGTGATTCCCTATAAACTGAGATTGAGGAAATCGTCTGTGTACATGATTCCACGGAACGGAATAATGAGGGGGACTTCCATATTAATTTTGTATAGTGGAAATAGAATGTATCCATTGCCATGATTGAGGAATGTTTTGATAATACAAGATTGATGTACCTTACATTTTGTAAACAAGATATTTATGCCCTAAGTTCGTTTATTTATTGCACAGAATACGTATGGTAGTGTGTAATTTTAAATTTTGTTTTTTGTTGCAGTACATCTGAACATACTGATTTAAATTAAAAGGATTTATCTCTTAATGTGATTCGTGATATAGATATCGGGGTTTCATTTACCCTCTGAATATAAATTAGCAAACATGCTACGACGAATATATTCTCACCAAAATTTATTCTTTATGTAACTAAGCAATTTCTCCCAAATGCCCTAGTATGGCCGAGAGCGGGATGGGTCCGCCCTCCCTCTCGAAATACTCTCATACGGCCACGCGTATACAACCTCTACCAGGGAAGTCCTACTCACTGCCTTCTCGTGGCGGGGATGTTGTTTACGAAAATGAGAGGACGAAAAGCGAATGTCTGGCACTTTAACCGGATCCCAAACCAATGGTGCACATGGGCTCCAGTATCCTGAGGGAACAAATGGCGTATGAACCAATTTCTTTGTCACCGGCAACCATCGGACTGCATCTCCTCACGATGCTCCACTGCCTTGTGGGTTAGACCTTCAGGCCGAAAACTCGGGGTGTGGCCCCCTAAGAAAACCACCTGCTTCGGTCTGGGCACCCGGGCAGTATCGCAGCCCACACACAATTATGATGAACTCTCTATATCTATGGAAACTGCTTTTCTCGCTTCGAATAACAATCAAATGGTTATTATTATTATTATTTACTACGACATTATTCACCCTCTTTTATTCCTACTCTGTCGACTTATACAGTAGCTCGTCTTTGGTGGAAATTCGACTCTATCTAAACGTTCTCGAGTCACTGTCCGGTTGAAAATTGTATGTTACCACCGAATACGAGGACTGAAGCAGTTTTTCTGAAACCACGTGCACCATTCAAAATGGCTGCCTTCAACGTTCACACACTTATGCAAGTTGGACAACAGATAGGGCAGGCTATGTCTTTAGAGTCTTAATATCGATGTCTGCTGTCTATCTGAGACCCGTATTCAAGACTCTGATGAAGTACTACAAATTCGCTCTCCGTCTGTCACTTCAAAAAGCTTATTTTACGTGCGCTTATCCGAGGGCCCTGTGACATCTTCGTCTGGTCTTGCTGGCGTTGGTGTTGCACTAAGCGCTAGAACTGAGGCAGCACTAATCGATTGGATCCCCATTAACAGTCGGTTATGTGCTGTTAGATTAGAAAGTTCCATCAAAGTGAGAAGAAATCGGCGTGAGAAATGATGTCTTTTCGTCATCTTCGCCTATGCCCCGACAGATGGCAACTCGGATGCAATCAAGGATGAAGTTTACCACCAGTTATCTGTTCTTCTCCGACAGATATTGTAGTATTAGCCGGAGAATTCAATGCTCAGGTTGGGCGTCTAGGCACAGAAGAGAGTCGTTTATGTGGCCGATGGGGACTTGTTGGTCGCAGGACAGATAACGGGGACCGTCTACTGCAACTGTGCACAGACCACAACCTGTTTCTGGCTAGCACTAACTTTCGGCACAGTCATCACCGATGTGCCACCTGGCGTCCTCCCTCTGCATCTCAAGCCTGGACTCAGATTGATCACATCGCGATCAGCTACCGCTGGCGTGGTTGTGTACAAGACTGCCTCTCCTTTTCGAGTACCTATCTGTACTCTGATCATGCTTTGGTGTGCGCCAATCTTAACTTACTTTTCAGTGGACAAAGAAGTGACCGCCATCAACGGATTGATATTAGCAAGCTGGTTGCAACTTCTGTTGCTAGTGAGTATCGAACCGATCTAGCCTCTAGGCTAGCTACCATTCCACCGAAAAGTATTGATGAGCATTGGTTGCAATTGCATGACACCATGAAAATGGCGGGTACAGTCAGTTGTGGGTTCTAGAGAGTGTACCAATGTCATGGAATGAGTCGATAGTTGTCCCTATCTTTAAAAAGGGTTCACGTCGTTCCTGCAAGAACTATCGGGGGATAAGTCTACTTCCGATTGCGTTCAAGCTATTGGCTTTCGTCATACTTCGTAGGTTATTCAAAACCCGAGAAAGATTGACTCGCCAGAAGCCGGCTGGTTTTTGTTCCGGTCGAGGATGTATTGACCATATCTTCACCCTACGCCAAATGTTAGAACACCGCCATACTTATCAAAGGCCAACAATCGTAGTGTTTCCTGACATCAGGGCTGCCTTCGATTCGTTGGATAGGACTGTTCTCTGGGATTGTCTATTGAAGAAGGGTGTGCCTGAGAAGTTTATTAACATCCTAAAGGCCTTATATACAAACACCTCAGGCACAGTGAGAGCATACAACCACCTCTCTCCATTGTTCCATTCGAGCAGTGGGGTTAGACAGGGTTGTCCAATCTCACCATTCCTCTTCAACTTTGCCATCGATGACATTTTGGAAACAGCTCTGATGGGTGTAAGTAATGGCGGTGTGGATCTGTTGCCTGTAGAAAGACTTCTCGACCTTGAGTATGCGGACGATATTGTCTTACTGTGCGATAATGCCCAAGCCATGCAATCCGCACTTAATCAGTTGGCAATCAATGTCCGTAGGTATGGTATGTGCTTCGCACCTCCGAAGTGCAAAGTACTTTTACAAGACTGGCAGGATTCTAATCCTGTACTCACGCTGGATGGTGAGCAGATAGAAGTAGTCGGGAATTTTGTGTATCTAGGTAGCTGCATAAGTGCTGGTGGTGGTGTGAGCGAAGAGATCAATGCACGTATAGTGAAAACCAGAGCGGCTTATGCCAATCTGGGACATCTTCGGCGCCTTCGTGATGTTAGTCTGGCTGTAAATGGCCGGATTTACAACGCGTCGGTGAGAGCAGTTTTTCTCTATGCTTGTGAAACCTGGCCTCTCCGAGTTGAGGATGTTAGACGACTCTCTGTGTTTGATCATCGCTGTCTTCGAAGGATTGCTGACATCCAGTGGCAACACCATGTTAGTAATACAGAGGTTCGGCATCGTGTGTTCGAGCACAGAGACGATAATGCAATTGGTGTCACCATCTTGAAACACCGACTTCGGTGGCTTGGACATGTTCTATGAATGTCGTCCCAGAGAATTCCACGTCGTGCATTATTTGCCTACTCTGGGACTGGTTGAAGAAAGCGGAGAGGTGGTCATTATATGACATGGTGTCGTGATATGAAAGAAATCTGCAAAGGACTGGCTTGTGTCGGTCCTTCACGACTCCCTGGTTGGAGTCCGAGAGATGGCGCTACACAGTGGCTAGAGACTTTATCAGATATGGCTCAGAATAGAAGCCAGTGGCGATCCTGCTGTAACTTTTACTTTCTTTATAAAGTAGTTGTAACTTCCTTAACTGAAAGATTGGTTCTGATTGTACCATTCTGTTCCCCTACTATTGCGATTATTATTATTACACTACCTTACACCAATCTCTTCGTTATTATTCTTTCTCTTCTTTTTCTTTTCTCTCCACTTAAATTCTCATTGTTTTGTGTGGCGCATTCTTGTACCAATATTTATGTGTTCAAATAAAGAAATAAGCAATTTCCGGCCTCGGTTCATAATATGTACTACACTTCACTGATCACTGGTGGGTGCTAATGAATTCAAAATTTCACTAGAGTTAATAGATATTATTTTGAGAGTAACTTTGTCTAGATTGATACGTGTAGTTTTGAGATTTGCCGACGAAGAGAATTTAACAACGAAAATGCTTTTGTATTTGGCTATTGCAGCTATTGTTTCGTACCAAATTTTCATTCGAGAAGAATTACATAAATGTCAAAATGAATCCTATAAAATATTTACTCAGGCTTTTTCTCCCCTAAGTTCGCGTTGTAGCTCCAATCATCTTTGAATAAGGCTAGATATTCGTAGAAACTGACAGCACTTTAAATCTAATATTAAAGCGTTTCTGAACATTTTGTGTCTTTTACGATCAAGGGCTCGTCTAATAATCCCACTAGTTCGAACAAAAATCACTCCTACACATATGAGACTAAAATCTGCATTGACAAGAATT